CATCAGCGCAACGATAGTAATGGCCTGTCCAGTTTGCACTACTTATTAACACCTGCCTGCACTGCCTATTTCAGCTTGTACGTAACTAAAGATTGCTCACTTCTTTGAGAATAAGTAGCACTTAAATATTAATAGCAACATCCCATATTAAATAGTACAAATTAAAACTTCGTAGTATTTAAACGATGCCGCCATATACCCTGGTGCAAATCTCCATATGTGCTCTGTGAACCACATGAATTTCCTTATGTAAGGTACATAATTTAGTTTTAGCCAATTAGAGCCGCCTTCGCTCCGCTCGACAACCAATGATAAACTCAAAAACCTGAGCGTTTCGTGTGACGGACGGACAGACACCGTGCTAGCCTTGATACTTTAGGACTAGCGCTCTGGGCGCCTGCTCCGCGGACGCTAGGTCATGGTTGGTTGGTGGTAGTGTGGGCTGACCGCCTCTGCTGCGCTGCGGCGGATTAAAGAGCATTTCGAAATCAAAGCTAAATGTATTATATGCATTACGTGACCTACCAAGACCGCGTTCCAAAGATCTCTCCGTACACAATATGGTCAGTGTGTACGTTCCCGTCCTCATCGATGGCCTCTGGATCCACAGCAATTTTGATCGCCTTCCTTGAAGTCACTCTCGACAACGCCACATAAAGCTGCCCATGTGCAAAGACCGGTGATTCCAAGATGTATATACCCACGTGGTGGATCGATTGTCCTTGGGCCTTGTTGACAGTCATGGCGAACGCTGGAACCACGGGGAACTGCTTACGCTTGAGTTTGAACGGAAACTCATTGTCATCGTCCTCACTATAAAAGACGATCCGAGGAATGAACACCTTCTTACCCTTGAACGGCCCGGACATAATGCTGGCCTCGATGCTTCTCTCGCGCAGTGACACAACCCGAAGCCGTGTTCCGTTGCAAAGTCCTGCGTCGCTATTCAGGTTTCTAATCATGATGATAGGTGTTCCAACCTTCAGAACAATCCTGTGCGGAGGGATACCAGAGAAGTTAAGAGAGTTCAAGAACTCCTGCTCAAACATATTTGCATCCGCGACCCCTTCGAGGCTGTCCACCGAGAGATACTCCTTCGTTTCACCCGATAGCCGTTCCGCAACCATGTCGTTGATACGCCGAACACTTGCATTTTTGGGGGCTAGTATGGCTCGCTCAACGAAGTATTCATCGGGTAAATTCTCACTATCAACGCCCGGGTACACCGCATCTATGAGTGCGTTGACGTTGCGGACTCGTCGGTCTTCTTCAACTTCGTCCAAGTCTCGCTCGTGTTCCTCGTCCGCCGGAGGTAGTAGCCGAAACTTGGGGGAGGCTCCATATCCGCGTCTTCTTCGTCAGAGGTCATTTGTTATACCCGTCGTTCTGGAATAATACCCATGTCGCGTGGGAGGCATATATCGCCATCACCGATCTCATGGTTGACTGGGTAACGGCCTTCTCCAATTTGAAGTAAAAATTCAGAAAACTTTGCTAGCTCAGCCGCACTGGCCGCGTCTGGGGCGGTGCGGACACGCATGTTCTCGGTTTACCGCACTTGACTCAAATGCTCCCATAGGGGTGAGGACTTGAAGCAAGCTTGAATCGTCTCCGCACGCGTAGCATCCTTCAGTACAGGTAGAATCTGGCGGTGATCACTGCTGAACACCATTACCTTTCCGCCGAACGGCTCCAGCTCGTTCTTCATAATATCCCGAAGCGACCTGTCAACAGCCTCAAAGCAAGCTCGGTTCATCATCGGCGCTTCGTCCCAAATGATCAAACTCGCGCTACGAATCAATTCGGCTTTTTGGCTCTGCCATGAAAGGCTGCACGTCGACGTCTCTGTTAGTTTGAGGGGAATCCGGAACGTTGAATGCGCGGTATGACCTCCGGTTAACAGAGTGGCTGCAATCCCACTCGATGCAACCGCGATGGCAACCTTACGTTGCATCCGAACGTGAGCGAGTATTTGCTCGAGTAGGAACGACTTTCCTGTTCCGCCCGGACCATCCAAAAAGAAAAGCTTCTCTCCTCCAACCGGGCTGCTCACAGCAGCAATAACTTGGTCAAAAATATCCCTCTGGTTGCTGTTCAAGTGGTCTACCAGCTCCGCAACATGCTCCAGTTCGTTTTGGGGGTATGCATCAATCTCTTGCTGGACAACATCAACAGACGCTGTATCCGGGTCGTCCACTTGAGCAGCTACATCGTCGTAATCGGCTAGCAGAGGAAGGCCGTACATGTCGAGGGACTTTTGGTTCGAAACCAAGTAATCAGCCAAATTCTTCAACGCCTTGTACTCCGCCATTCGAAGACGCACCTGCTCTTCGCGTACATTATGCAGGTCTGCGTCTCTTACCTCAATGCTTCGTGCATAATCCTCTGACATATCCTTCTTGAACCTGTCCCATAGATCTTTGGCATTACCAGGCATGGAGTAAACCAAAATGATGCGGAAGAGTTGGCGTAGCTGGTACGGCATCTTGACCTCGGCGGCTTCGCGTAAGCAATGTATCCACTCGTCGTCATTTTCCAAATACCCAAGCGCCAAAGCGGCTTGCTGATATGTAGGATGTTCCGTACCATCAACCGTTCGAAGATCCGCAAACGACTTAGGCGAGCGTCGGTTACACAGGAGAAGTCGCAAGTAGAAGCGTTCCGGATCCTGCAGAGACACGTGTACCAAGCGTCCCAGAGAAGCAACGTACTTCTTGTACGGTTCCCACGTCTTGTGTTCCGTCCACCTGTACTTCCGCGGCACATCCTTGTACAGTAGATTGGCCGTAGCTTCTGGGTTACGCGCGCACAGCTTGAAAAATTCCGTCAGCATTGAAGTTGTGAAGCTGGGGGGTCGTCGCTTGGTCGCGATAAGCAACCATGCTCATTCTTTCCAAATGAATAGGTAGCGTCACAACAGAATGTGTTGATCCTTGTGTTGGATGCATGAATATCCGCATGCAAGCTTCTACCGGAGAAATGTACCTCCCGAGGAGATACTGAAGAATTTCGTTCGCCCGAATTTCTTCGCCTTCGATCGTGATTGTCGTCGTGTCCGAGTCCTTGTAGACGTACTTGTAGATGTACTTGATGGCCTTGTTCGTGGCACAAACATCGACGTTGATGTGGCAGTTGTATTTCTGCGACAGGAACGGATTGTAGGGGACCACCCATTGATTGATGGTCGCGTTGTCCCATACTTTCCCCTTATGGCACAAAATTCCATCCGGACGGCGACCACGCTTGTACGTGGGGTATTTGTCGGGGGTCATCACCGTTTCGTCCGCGAGCGCCTTTGGAAACTTCTTGGAGCACCTTCCGTTCTTCATGCACGGGCAGTTCGGGCTCTGTTGACCACAGGGTCCATGCAGCATATTGGAAATCACCGTATCGTACAGCTCGGGGTACTTCTCTTTATCCGGGAGCTCAGCGGACACCAACTTATCGACGTCTTCCTTGGTAGTGGGCTTGTTCTCCGGACGCAGGATAAGCAGTATGTGGGCGTGGGGAAGACCACGCTTCTGATATTCCACTACATGGACTCGAGCGGCTTGAATCCCCAGCACACCCTCATCGAGATCCTTGTTAAGAGCTTTTAGTTTCTCCATGAACACGCGAGCCACGATGTCCGGTCGGTCGGATGCTTTTTCTCCACGGCGTAAGTTTTCCTTGATCTCAGGCCAGTTCGGGTTGCATGTCATCGTAATGAACAGGTTCGGGGCTCCTGTTTCACGGACGATAGCCATGGCATCCAAGAAGCGTTGGTACATGTAGCGGGGACCACCTGTAAACTTCGGAGGTATGATGATGTTGCGTCCAGCCTCACTCGCATCTGGCTCTGCTGACTCCTGCTCCGTATTATTCCCACGCCGAGTCCTACGTATGGCCGCCTCGTCGTCAGCTGCCATTCTGTGGATTTCAACAGACTCGCCACGCAACGCGTCCGTGAGTCCCTGGAGGTTTTCCAGCCGATACTGGAGCTGGTTCTTCTTGATAAAGCGCAGGCGCTCTTTGTTCGCATTTGGCCCATTGGTCAACGCAGTATTGGCTGCGTCAGTCGGCCCACCGCGCAGGATAAAGAGAAATACTAACCGTCCGGTCCGTAAAGCAGATACGCCCTCATATTCTCGAACTGACATGGTTAAAGGGGCACCGTGCCGATCGACGGGATTACCAACGTACGGATGATCGTAAGTCCAGCCATTATCTCTCGTACGGAAAGAGTAGAGGGGACTGCAGTGAGTCGAAGGGAACGCTCGTCTCAAGATGCGCTTGAAACCTCCTTCTGTCTGGTGTAGGAGTAATTCCGATGCTCAGCTCCTTTGTAATCGATACAACGGCTGCCACTCTAATGCAGCTGCGTGTTATGCGAACCTCGGGTCCCATCTCGTGAGGTGGAGAGCGAGCTTAGGGGGACCCCCCGTCCCGAAAGAAATTTATCCAGACTAAAGGAGGGAACATGCTTATTAAAATCTTTCCCCTGCCGTTGGGGG